ATATATATATATATTTGTATATTTTGCAAATATATATATATATTTGTATATATTGTATTTATTATAATTATAGAATATAATTTTCCTTGGTCAAAGACATGACTTTCAATCTTATAAAGTTATCCTAGAATGTTCAAAAGGGAACTAATCCCTGAAATATAGCACCCAAAGAAGTTCTATTGTTATGTATCATGTTCCTGCACTCAAAAAATATTCATGGCACACAATAAGACTGTCTAAAGTTAGTGGTTCAGTTGTATACTGATGTTTATTCAAATTTGCATACAGTGTGTTAAAAATAAGCAATATAAAATGTAAATTTACCATTAATTAAATGGGTCAAACTCAAAAATCTCTCTAAGACTTATTTTCATGATATCTAATACACACAATTCCATGTCGTTAAGCGACCTTAAAATTACTTAAAAAAAAAAAGAAAAAAAGAGAAAGAATTATATAAGAATTACACAGTGAGTACCAAATATCACCACGGTATCTTAAATTAAGTACATTCAATATATAAAATATAAAAATACTGAGCTAACAATAAAGGGCATATAGAATATAATTTTCTGCTGTACTGCGTAGTTTGTATGTCATAGCTATATTGCTAATTGCTACTAATGGCTCTGTCATTAAGTGTAAAAGCTTTAGTATTGTGATACGTATAGATGAACAGATAGTGTTCTATTTATCACTATTTATAAAACAGATGCTATTAATATCATATTCTTCCTAGAATATCAACGTTTTTTTTTTTTCTTACTTTTGCTTCTTTCGTTTATCTTGGATTAGACCAAGTTAATAGCAAGGAGCCTAAAGAGATTATGAAAAATCTGAGATCTCCGAAAAATCGTTTAAAATGTAAGCAGTTTTTGAAATACTAAAAGCAACCGAACTTCGAATGTCAATGGCTAAAAATAACTGGCCCAAAGAACTAGGAGAGTATTTATCAGTGTTTGCAATTCTTGAACTAATTTCTACAATATTGTTAAATACAACCTTTCTCTCTCGCTT